AGCTATCTGTTCTACAAACAAACAATGACCTGTATAAGCAAGCGCAATCCTCAAACCAGGCAAATTGTATGCACACTAAAAGTGGAGCAACGGTGTCACTTTCCATCATAATCCACAGTCCATACTAATCAATAAACATCAACAATGTAATCAAGGATTGAATAATACGAAGCAAGTCCTAGTAAAGAGTGAACCAAAATGCACTGACATGTATGAAGTAAAACGCTGAATTCAGGAAAGCAATAAAATAAATATATAAGACAGAAAATTATAATTATATAGTTCTTCAACAAGCCAGGACATCCTTTCTAAGGTGTTAACACAAATCAACCAATAGTCTATGTACATGTATCCGTGTGACTGGCTGTTATAGACTTATTGAAAATATATGTGTATCTAACTATTTAATATTTAATAATTTATATACTTGGCAAAAAGAATAATATTTAATTATTTATACAGCCATACCTGTATCTTGAAATTTTTAAAAAATGGCGTATCCATATATCATGCTGTATCGTATCCGATACTCGTACCTGTATCGGTGCTTCATGGCATGAAACATGATCTTAGAATTATGAAAGTTCAGATGCAGAGAGAGGACTAAGAATCCTAAGGAAATATTATATCTTAATAATATTTGTTTACAGTATTCCATAAGGAGACCGAAGCAGACAATTATTAGAATGTGAGAAATCATCATGCTTCATTCCTCTCAGTTTAGTACATAAATGCAAGAGCAAAACAGCCCTCAAGTAAATGAAGTTTAGAAGAAAGGATTCGACTCAATCAACTTAAGCAAGACGAAATCTGGGAAGCCATATAGGTAAAGAAATTATTCAAATTATATATACAAATTTCCACACGTGAAGCGTTTCAGGGTACTAAATTCAAATAATAATAATAACAAAAAAGAATGAAATTACCTTGGTCCCCTGAATGCGAGTGACAAGAGTCTTGCCTACATTTTAAACTTGGAACACAGAAGGGGCCTTAATATCATACCAATCCTTCTTGGCAAAGGGATCAGCACTGAAAGCCAAAGAAGCAGAGATGGGATGAATCGAAGACAGATGCAGAAGACAGAATATAAAACAGCATTTGAAAAGAATGAAAAGGGTGATTACGCCTTCTTCTTGCCTCCTTTCTTTCCCTTAGAAATTCTCTTGTTCTTCCCTACCGCCATGATTGTACCCAAGTCACAGACAAGGAAGCTCCTTCTTCTCTCTGCAGCTGACGGCTATAATATCAAACAGCCAAACGAACCCTGCTTCTGCTGCAGAAAAATGAACGGAAGTGAGAAAAATGAAAATATTTTGTTGCTGCCATTGTTTTATATTTTTTTTTATCATGTTATTATTCAATTGTGATTATTTTTAATTTTAAAACGTAAAAAAAATGGATAACATTATTTTTTATTTTATTTCATTCCATGTAATGAAAAAAATATTGTATTCTAAATGTTGGGGGAACTTCTTGTTATTTTATTATTTGATTAGTTTGTTTAAAATTGTATTTAATATACCAATAAAAGTTATAATCTAGTTGATAATGATTTGGTTTATAATCCATAAAGTTATAAGTTCAAATCTTGCTGTCAATGTAAAAATCTTGTTAATAAATGATCTGGAAGCAACTTTATGAGCAAAAATTTTAACATGAAAAATATTTAAAGTACTTTAGTTTTCATTTTTTTCCACATATTTATCAGAAACCACCTCCTATTATCTTCTTGAATTGTCAAAGATCACTCTCCTTTTTCTTATATTTAATGCTAAATTATTGAACAATGAAGTCATTAGATGACAGTATGTGAAACCGTCTTGCATTAACGTTCTTTGCTCTCCCTTCTTTTTCTTCTTTCCTTGCCCACCACGTTTAACAATTTCTGGTTCCTCTCCATTTGTTTTCTCAAGTGGCATTTTATGATTTTTTTTTCCTCTGGATTCTTTCTATTACAGATTATTGTTATTAAACAAGTTCATTTTCAATGCTCTATAGTTTATTTGTGTTTAAATTTCACGTTTTGACTGTGGTCTGATTCTTATTTTTATTCATGTCCTTTGCATTACTATGAATTTTTGTAACATCACAAGTCAAACCATCCATATTTGTATTTCGGTAAATCCATATTAAATTTATAATTTTTTATTTAAAATTTGTATTTACAAACCATATCAACGTCTCATGAGAGGCCCTCATATTTGGAAAATGTACAACAACTATAATATATTCACCAATATTATAGGTAGATGAATTTATTTTTCCTTTTATTTCTCCTCCTTTTTGTTCCTGTTAATGGTTTGTTATAGAATGATATATTTATGGTTATCATTTGAATTTCTTGATGTTCTCATTTTCTTTCCTTAAATTGTCAAAATTTCTATTAATTTTTTGCATGCTTATATTAAAGCTTTGACTTTTGACTATCGCCGTGCGGGAAGAAAAGAAAATTTGCATAGTTCTATTCTTCCAATGGATATATAATTTGCCTATACTAAAAGTTCATTCGTAAAAATAACACATCACTGACTAAATGATATTTTAATTAATATTTTTGTTGTTTCTCCAATCCTCAATATTGTTAATATGATTATGTTTACTAAAAACAATCTTCAAACTTTAAATTATATATTGCTAAGCTTGATATCCTCTCTCAACAAGAAAATTGATTTATATATGTAGCAAGAACTAGCTTTATGAGAATTGAGAAGATGATATTTTAAAAAGAAGAAAATGATTGATAGATGTTTTACTTTTCATGTCATATTCATAATATATATTGATAAATCTTTTGTTTTGTGTAATGATACTCAACTTTACCATTCAGTATTTAGAATATTAATTCTTAATTATATTATCTTCCATCATGATGATAAATTAAATTCAATATCAAAATCTTTAAAATTTTAGTTATACTTTTCTAGACTTGCATCCATTTATGAACCTGAAGCACTTATCAGGCAAATCTTGTAATATTATTTTTTTTAATTAAAAATCCACCAAACACAACTTTAAATATTATTCAAATATCTATAAGGTCCAATTTAGAGCCATTTACCGTATCTCTAGATTTAATTTATGAATCAATTATTTTTATTTAATAACAACTAATTCTAGATATGACGTAAATTTTATTATTTATTTAATTTTTTTAAAAATGTTCACAACCTGTGCATAGCACTGGTTATAAATAAAACAAGAACCTCCATAACCAGCCCAATTTTTGAGCCACATTATTCAACGTCTTCTCTTCCTAATTCATCTATTCAAACTTATATTTTTTAGAGATACCATATTTAAAAATAGGGAGAATGATAATAAAATACCTTCAAAATATGCAATTGACAAATAGGTATCATGAAATGTGATAATTATTTTGAGTTTCTAAAGATTTATTTGACATTTTAATTTTTGTATGAAATAATTAACCTTAGTTCAAATCCACCCCAAAAGAGCAAACTAGGAGTCTAGGATCATGGGCTTCTTCCATCATTGGTTTCAACCCCTCTAGTCGCATTAGCAAACAAATTAAATTTGAGAAATTGAGTTACGACAGGTTAAATTTAAAGGATTTATAATTAAGTTGAAAATTAAAGATTTAATAATTATATTTTCTTTTTTTTTTCAAAAAAGGAAGTCTTGGCTGGCGAGATGAGATCCCTAGAGAAAACATCCAATATTACCTGACCTGATCCGATCTGGGTAGGATTTGGCACGCTTGGTGGTGCTTTCCTCAAACTAGACTCAAGATTTCAAGGGTTGTTTTTTGCTTCTACTTGATGGGTGATGACAGTAGCTTCCTCGAAAGACTCGTGCCTCCCAAAAAAATCACTGTCATTAGTAAACAAACTAAATTTAAGAGACTGAGTTATGACAAGTTAAACTTGAAGGACTCACAGTTAAGTTGAAAATTGAAAGATTAATAATTATATATATTTTTTTAAAAGGAAGTCTTGGCTGGCGAGATGAAATCCCTGGAGAAAACATCCAATATTACCTGACCTGATCCGATCTGGGTAGGATTTGGGACGCTTGGTAGTGCTTTCCTCAAACTAGACTCAAAAGCTTTCAAGGGTTGTTTTCTGCTTCTACTCAATGGATGATGACAGTAGCTTCCTCGAAAGACTTGTGCCTCCCGAAAAAGTCACTGTCCTTGGTTAAAACAAAATGAAGCAACAATCATGATCGACCATGTATGCAACAGCATTCCATACGTCTCATCGGGAACCCCTGAAGAGGCCATTATAGCAAGCAAATAGGTGAAATTGTTAGGACCAACGCATATCCGCGTACAAAGAAATGGAGGGTGCTCACTGTAGTGCTCAAAGTCTTGGCTAAAGCCAATCCTTGCGTCGGCTCCCTCCTCGAGATACTGTCGAATCTGGGAATCGACGTCGCATGGCTTCAAGACACTCTGAGCTCCATCCTGCAAATGGAGCCCTCACGTCACAGTTGCAAGGGAGGTCTCTTTCAATGAAGAGCTCAGTATTTGGAGGAGTTGCAATTAGAGAAACTGCAATCGCTAGTGGAGGAAGCCGATGAAGCTCTATGGGTACTATTAGTCGTAGATTTGAACAGGACAAATGTCATTTTTACGAAAAATTAAAATGACTAGAGTCCTATGGGGCTAGATAATCATTATTACATTTCTCAGTATCTATTTATCTTTAGTATATTTTGAAAGTATTTTATTGTCATCCTCCCTTAAAAATATATTCTGGACAACGGGGCATCCCAGTACTCAACCTAAGTTCCACCTTGATACAGTCCCAATTATTTTCAAGCTCGAAATGACCCATCTCTACAAGATCAACTGAGACAAGCTAATCGGGTCCATGAACACCCTAAAAGCTGATCTATAAAATCTGATTTCAATAGTCCAGATTTGAAATTTTTAATTGATAAATTCATTTTTTTAACAAAAAAAGAAAAGTGACATCTAGGGAAGTACTTTTATTTTAGATCTTGTGTCCACTGAAAATTATTGAAAAAGTAAAAAAGATTAAATCCGAACCTTCCATTTAAACCATAAAATCTGTACAGGCATGAAAGGGGAAATGGAACAGCATAGTAGCACTCACATAAAACATGGACATCACGAGGATGCCTATTTGCGTGCACAGAATTCTAAATTCCCTCAATGCCATACAAGTCATAATTTTTTTTTCCCCCGAAGAGAATATAATTCAGATCTACCAAACGAGAATCTTTCCTGGACACCACTATATTAATATTATCGTATAAGTAAGGCAGCAGATCCAAGGGTCCACAGAGCCTGACAAAATTCTAGTGACCGTATTTCTGAAACTCCCATTCACTGTTATCTGTAGCAACGGAGAAATACCAAAATTAGTGAAAAATACAGCTATCAACCCATAATGGTCACAACAGAAAAGAGAAGTGGAGGTACTGGGCAAACACCTAAAGGACAAACTTGACGGGTCTTGAGCCATCGGCTGATGCAATGGAAGTGAAAAGCATGATTGCATACCCCTGAGCAGGAAAAGAAAAAAAGCCAAAGCAACAGTTTAGAGTAAAACTACATTTGCTAAAGCTGCAGTGACATTCGCAGCAAATACAATTGCACCATCATCAGGGATAGACCTATGTTTTGCACCAACAGAGACTTAAATGTATCACGTATGCAGTTTATATTAATTGTTTTCCAGTCATCAAATCTTCCCCCTTTAAATTGTTTACTCGTCTCCTTTAATGTTTATTTTAGCTATAAATTTCCACCGCCCCACCCCATTTTAAATTTTTCAGCTACAAAGTCAAAAAGTTTCCACTTGAGTGAGTGTAAAACAGAATATATGCACTACAAATTTGATAAGAGGTACATTAAAAGTGATTTGTAAGTTAAGATGGGAGATCAAATCACACAAGTGACAATGTTTAGATGTTTGGGATCACACACACAAAATGATGATGAAATTAATGAGAATGTTGCACATAGAACACAAGCTGAATGGTTCAAATGGAGAAAGGTTACAAAAATGATTTGCGATCAAAAAGTATCTAATAATTTTAAAGAGAAGTTTTATTGAATTGTGATAAAATCAATGCTATGCGATAGCGAATGTTGAGCTTTAAATGGACAACAAGATCATAAAGTTAGGATAACAGAGATAATGTTAAAATGGATATGTGAACATAGAAGAAAATACAAACTTCAAAATGAACATATACAAGAAAAAGTTGTTGTGGCATTTACTGAAGAGATGATAGTAGAAAATCATTTAAAGTAATTCAGATATGTGCAAAGAAGGCTGTTGGAGAAGCCAGTGATGAAGGTGGAATAGTCAGTTTTAAGTTCCATGAAGAGAGGTAGATGAAGACAAAAGATAATACCCGATGAAGCTATTGAACAGGACTTTTTTATCAAAAATATATCAAACATTTGATTGTTGATATAGAGTACAATGATGGCATGCAATCCATATAACCAATCCCTCCTAATGGGATAAGGGCATAAGGCATTTGTTCCAGTTGTTCCATCCCTCTCCAATACATTTGAATGTCACAACCAAAACCATATCTATGAACGCATCTTGAACCATAAAGCACAAAAAATTATTATTATTATTATCATTACTACTCATTCTAAAATGTGTAAAAATATGCACCAAATCATGTATTTCTTGAAATTCGAAATGCCAACATGTCCATGTAAGATTCTACAGTTCCTACACTAAAATGGAACACTTTTTCTTACGAAGAAACAACTTATGATAGCCACGAATGCAACATGTCAACTGATACACAATGTCAAATGAAACAGAACATCTAGTGTTGTATACAACAACAACAACAACAACAAGCCTTATCCCACTAGATAGGGTCAGCTATATGGATTATATGATGCCATTGTGCTCTATCATCTATTAAGCTTTTAAAAATATTATTAATTATAAGATCTTACTTAACAACTTTCAAAAGTGTTCTCTTCAATTTTCCTTTACTCTTCTTGACAGGGCTCAAAGTCATTTATTCTACTCTCCTCACAGGTGCCTTACATGATCTTCTTTGTACATATACAAGCCACCTCAAATTTCTCATCTCAATATCCAGTGTTGTATAATCTAGAAAATTCCGTGCATTTCCCAAGGTTTCACATTCTAGGGAACCATCATGCAATTATTCTGAATCCAATCTATATGTCAATGAAAGCTTTAAGAGAAAAAATAGTGGTTTATCTTTCAAGCTTTAACTGTGCTGTTTATGCATTTTGGCAGCAATTTTAACAATACATATCACCTGCCAATGTTTACCTTAAATTGCTAAGTCCTGAACAGTACACATCCACGCTTAATTTTATGTACATGGCATGACCACAAAACAAGTCTCATCCAAATCCAAATCCAAATCCTAAGACTACAAAGTTCCATCTTTGGTTGAAGACAAAAAAAAAAAGAAAAAGAAAAAAGAAAGAAATAGTTCTACTCTGACTCTATGTAACCATTGAATAGGTTTCCTTTTTTTCTTTTTTTTAATGGAAAAAATGGTCCATGAGGACGTACAGCATACCAAATCACCATGAGCTGACAAGCAACAATTATGGTTATGTAACATACAGGACAAGGCACAAAAAAAATGAAGGCAATAGAGAGTTTTAGAACATACCCCAAGCTACAGTACATTCCTCACTAGTGGCGCTAGCCTGGTTGGCCTGGCATTCAATGCCTAAAGCAGTCATAAAAAAAGAATTAGTTCAAGCGAATGAAGCATCCGTCGATTGAAAAATTATTTGAGATATACTCACACAGATCCATGATATGGTTCCGGCAGATAGCACAGTTATCAACAACAATATCTGCGTAATCACAATTAGATGGGCAACAATCAAAAACAAATACACAATACCATGCACAATGATTATAAAAAAGAGAGAGAGAACAGGGGAACACAATTAGGGAAAGAAGTTAGGGTTAGGGTTAAAGAAAGGAGTACCCCAAGCCCAGAGAGCAACGGCGTTCCACTTTTTGATCTCGAATCGCTTGGGCTTTTTGGAAGAAGGACCGGCAGAGTCGCCGGCCGGTACCATTGGAACGTCGGAATCAAGAGTGGCCATTGGATTTACGATGAAAAGTAAAGTACTCTAGTTTCTCGCCACTTCAGATTCAAGCCGACCTCCAAAGTTTTCTCGTTGTTGTTTGGCAACAGCGTCCCAGTGGAAAGTATATATCTGCAGGGTGGGATAATAAATCAATAATCAATATCAATAATAATGATAACGATTATGAATAAATTAGATTGATACTTGCCATGCTAATGGTCCGTTTGGATTCTAGTGGAGTATAATAAATTATAAAAAAAATTAATTAAATGATAAATTTTAATTATAATTAATTATATTATAACACAATCTATTTAAATATTGTTTTTTTAAAATTAATTTTAACAGAATTAAAAATATTTAGATAATATAATTAAAATTAATTTTAATTATATAAATTATTATATAATTTAATTTTTAAATATTAAATATCAATTTTTTGAAGATGTAAAGTTCAAATTTTATTAAAAAAAAAAAGAAAAGAAAAAAGTTTGATTTTATTTTATTAAATTATGTGTTTTTTTGTAATTTTTGCTTGGGTTTGTCTTTATAATTTTTTCAATATTTTGAACAAGCTTCTTCGTAAAAGCTTTGATTCTCAGCTTCTGGAAATAATCAATTTTTGGCTTGAAAATTGATTCTCCAAAAAAGTGGGTGTTTGAATAATTTTTTGAAGAATCAATTTTTTGGACCAAAAATCAATTATATTTGCTATCCAAACACATTGAATGTTATACTCCCTCCCTTTAAAAATACATAAAAAAATAATTAAATTTTATCTTTTAATAAAATAATTAGTTATTTTTAAATTAACTCTATTTTTTTATTTATTTTTATTTAATAGATTATTTTATCTTAAAATAAATTTAAAATGATTTATTCAATAACAATATTTAAAAATAATAATAATTATACATTAAAAAATAAAAATATTTTATATTTTTTAATAAAAAAGTAGTATTTAAAAAATAAATATGAATAAAAATATTAATATTAAAAATTTATCTTAGTGTACTTCAACTACAATACATTGCCTTTTTTTAATTTTATCTTAATTATAAATATCTTTTCTTATTCTTAAAATCTATCTAATTCTCTTTTAAAATTAAAAATCAAGAGTTACAAAATATAAACATTCATTTTATTTTTAATTTTTAATTTTTATTCATTTAATTATTAATAAATAATTAAGTCATATGTATTGAATTAAAATACCATTCTGAAAGTATTCTTTTAAGTTTTTGTTCATATCTTAAATGTATTAGTTATACAAACTTATTTATTTAATATTTTTAAAAAAATTTTTAAATAATATTTCAAACGTATGTATTAATAAGATTAACAAAATAATAATTTAATATAATAAGAGATAGATTAGTTAATATAATTTATGTTTATTTTTATTTAAAATTTAAAATTTTCACAAATATTTTTGAATTATTTATTTAAATATTGTTATATTTAATTCTTTAATAAAGTTTCTTTTTGAACAAAAATAGTTTTTTTTTTTTTGCCAAAGAACAAAAATAGTTTGAAATGCTTTAAATTAGGAAGTGAAAGGATAGATATGCAAATAGATTATAAAGGCAAATTAATACTTTTAAAATTTTTCAACATAATTACAAATAATAAATTAAGTATTTTAGAATATTTAATAGAATATTTTCAATGGTGTTAAAAATGAGATTTAAGTGTAGGTTTTGAAAATAAAGAAAAAGATCTTTATAATTTTAACAAAACTAAAAGAAAGTTGGTGTATTTTACTCTATAATTATTAATTTGTGTATATTAAATCTAAAGAATATTTATTTTGGAATATGTTCTTTCATATTAAAATATAAATAATAACTTATTTAATTTTGGAATATGTTGCCCCGTGTAAATTAAAATTTAAGGAATAACTTCTATTTTGTAATGTGTTACATTTATATGCATTACAAATTAGTAATATTTTTTAAAAAATTTCTCACCTTCAATTTGAAATATAATCTAATTTATTATTTTTTTAAAATTTGTTCTCCTATGTATCACCTTAATAAAATTAAACATGTACTATATGTGTATCATACTACAATATATATCATAATATTATTTATAAATCATAATTGTAATGGTTGTAAATTAAGAAAATAGTATAATCTATGTTATAATACTATATATTTATCAATAATATATATATATATAATATATATGCATTACAGGTAATACAACAATTAAGAAAAAGGTTAGTGTAGTTAAAAATAAATTCATTGACGTTAATCTTAAAGCACATAATTACATAAATGTTTCTCTTTTACATATAAATAATAGAATAATAAAGTTTCTAGCTTATACATTTGAAGAATATGAAAAGCTTGTTCTATTCCTACACAAAATGTTTTATGATATGTTATCTCATGCAAATAATAAATATACAGTAATTTTTTTTTATCTTGACCGTGTTATCTCCATATAAATTTAAATCTAAACATGTTTTATTTTATAATTTTTTATGTAAAAATAAAATTTTATTTTATAAACAACAACGTGCTTTTTTTAGAAATTTTTATCCTTATGGATAGTAAAAACATAAATAACATAGAGTAAATTAGTCTAATAACCATGAAAAATATAATTCCTATAAATTATAGATATGGTTTTTGAATATTTTAAAATATAGCTCATTTATAAAATTAATTAGAGGTGATTTTTTTATTTTTACCCACAAAACAAATATGTTACTAAAACACTTTGCATAAACTAGTGAATATATATATATATATATATATTATAACTAACTAAATGATTAACATTCAACACTTCAAATCTCTACAACATGTTCTTTCACAACCGTTCCTTCCTCTTATTGGTGGATAAAGGAATTAAGATAATATTCACAGATTGCTTTTTGTTGTCCTAACAAATGCACTCTTCTCCAAGAGACGTCCTAACATGAGTAATTCAATTTGTGCCTCGACAAACTCTTATTGCTAGGCTTCATTGTGTGAAGATGAATGTAAACCCAAAACTTTTATTGTAAAAGAGTATTTGATTTTCTATAATAAGTTAAGATGTTCATAATTTTTTATGGACCGTGTTTGATTTGTTATGGGTAAATGATTATGTTTTTATTTCATGTTTCTAATACATAATAATATATTAGTAATATAAAATTATATATCACTAATAAATCATATCAATCAAAACTTATCAATACTATTTAGTTTTGTAGATATGAAGATACTTAATATCATCATTTGTTATGATGTAAAATGAGATTTATTAGTTTAAATATTTGATTATCTGATAAGCTATGATGTTCAAAATTTTTTACGGATTATGTTTGATTTATTTTAAGCAAATGATTATGTTTTCTTTTGTGTTATTTAATCCACAATATTATATCAATGATATACAATTATACATTACTAATAAATCATATCAGTAAAAACTTATTAACACTATTTAATTTTATAGATATGAGGATACTTAATCTCATTATTTCTTTTTATTTTTTTAAAAAGAGGGTCAAATAAAGCTCTATTTCATCTTCAAGTATTTGAAAAAAGGTTTTCATCCCAAACAAATTTAAAAAAAGGTCATATTATTTACAAGGAGGGTAGTTTTATCATATAAAAGTCAAATAAATATCAAAATGGCTATAATATAAAATATAATAAATTTTAGGCTGTTTATTGAATTTGGTTTTATAAAATTCGCTATATATATAAAAGCCCCAATAGCATTCTTGTTTATATTAAAAATATATAAAAATTGTTTTCTATCTTTGGTAACAACATACTGTTTTATTTTTACATGAATAAATTAAAAAAAATGTCACTCCATGTATTTTAAATTACAAAAAATAATTTATTATTCCAAGACTAAGTAAATTAAAATTTAAAAATAAAATATTCTATTCTATAATTTGTCACTTACCTTTTTTATTCTACAATTAAAGATCTCATGCGTACAAAATTAAAAGTAAAAAATTATTTTATTCATAATTTATTATTTTGACTGAATTAATTTTATTTAGATTTTTTATTGTAAGTAAATTACTTTTCATAATTTTGTCTAAATAAAATTTGTAATTTCATTATATATCTAATACCTATTATTTTATTAAGAATAATATATATCTATCATTGATTTTTACTATTGATCCTACGTTATCTTTAAAAATATAAAAATTTTATTTTTTCACGCTTTTTCTGAAATTTTAACATTCAAAAATGAGAATAGGTACTTCTTTAGTTCTATTTATAAGACAAAAATAATTTTAGTCCTATTTATACGACAATCCACTATTTTTTTTATGTTTATTTTTACCTTTTTGCCATTATTAAATGCCATGAAAATAATTAAAAATACTTATTTTGGCCCTTGTTAGGAGTAAAAGTGAAAGTTTGATAAAATTTAAGACAAAAGTATAAGATTTAAGATTTTTTTTAATTTTAGTGAAATATGCTGAAAATAATTTATAAAAAGGATCAAATAAAGTATAACAAAAAAAATTTCACCTTATGTAAAAAAAATTATTTTATTTTTTGATCAAAGGTCAAATATTATTTATCACTAACACCATTAGTATAACATATATTTAAAAAGAGGCCTAATAGCAAATCAACATAAAATAGAGACTAACAACAAAAATACAAACTCAAAAACCAAAATAAAGGCACATGGTCAAGTCCAAGGCACAAAGCACATGGAAGCCGCAATGAGAGGTATCAAATAGGTACTAACAAGGAAACTAAAAGTTCTTGAAAAGGCAAGATGCCTAAGAGCAGCAACTTGAGATCATTGGTCTAAAGACCTTAGCACCTCAACCAACCAAAAGTCCAAATCTAAGAAAAAAAAATCAAATACAAACTTATCACAAATAAAAGAAAAAGAGAAGCTGAACAAGAAAGCAAGAAGAAAAACACTACCCATCTTAAGCATCCCAAACCCTTAATCATCATAAATTCACTTAGTGAGCTTTTTTGAAGGAAAAACTCACAAAACCATTGCCCAAATTAGCAACTTTTAGTGGAGAGTTAGTATTGCCATTTGTAGCATCTGAGCATTCATGAACTTGACCTGACCCATTTGCCATAAGAGTAGCACCAATACCAACTTTGAGCATT